ACATTCAAAATGTATTTTGAAGAAGCTTTTTATTATCTGTTTTTTTTTTTGTAGTCTCTCAAGTCTGCTTGATTGTATCTACTTTTGTTCTTCTGTAAGATGTTTGGGGTAGGGACTCTATTTTGTTCTGCATTCATGCAGAGAATAGGACACTAAAATTTCTCATTCACTGCCAGGATCCCTACCTACTCCAGCAAAAACCCCTCAATATAATTCTTCATATTATTCTTTTATGGTTTATATTATTTTCCTGTAGAAATCTCGCACCTCAGGTATAGGATGATATAGATTTCCTTTGCTTAGCTCTACTATCTGAAAAATGAAAGAAAAAAACCAACCTTGCCACAGATAACTTGGGACAAGTGGTGAAGCTGTACTTGGGGTATGTGAATGTGAGAATTACTCTGCTCCATCCTTTCCTCAAGTCCATACAACACAGAGACAAGATGTATCTGTGCCTTGGTATCCATGCAAGGCAAACCTAAGATGTCCATTCTTTGTACCTTTCTAGTATTACTGGCATTTGATATAGTATTATAATAAGTTAAAACTTTTTATTCCCTTGGAGATTGTTGTAGTTTCTCAGGAAAGCTAAATACATCTCCAAGCCCTTATTGTTAGGAATTTCCAAAAAACTAGATATAGCAGTGAACCCAAAATGAGAAAACATCTCAGGAAACTCTTTGATGAACAAGAGGAACACACCTGTATTTAAGGAAAATAATGACACAACCCATGCCCCTCCATCAGCTACTGACTCCCATGCACTTTGATAAGTGAAGTAATTTTGTCACAAATACTACAGTAAGAAACTAGCAATAACATATTACACTTCTCTCACATTTCTGTTGTGAAAATTACTACTTGATGGGGCCAACAGTGGGACCATTTTCCCAAATTAGGAAAGATGAATTGGTCCAATTTTTTTTTCTTAATGATTAAACTAAAGAATTAAGAGCTGCAGGAGTTCACGGTGGCTGAAAGCATGTTTTTTTTTAAAGGCTGGAAATGTGCATATGTTTTCTGTAGCTTAGCTAACCTGTTGCTTCATAGGTAGGTGCACAGGAATTCTGTTGTTCTTTCACACGGACTGAATTTATCTTGATTGCTACTACAGTGAATCACCTTTCTGGGCCTACTTCTTTTCGAACAGTTTTTTCCCAGAAGATATCTCAGGAATCCTTTAAAATTCAAGCATTAGTGTTCCTCAGAACCAATGAGAGAGGTGTTATGCCCTCTCCTCTATTGTAATAGGGGCCATGTATATATTTAAGAAGGGGAAAAAAGTCTTATTATTTTTGCTACTCATAGCAGTGAATATATAATTAAAATTGCACAAATTACCTTTGTGATGTTCCCAGCTGTATTTTATTAGTAGGCCCTTAAGGATTTGATGAACAAAGCATTTTAATGTATTCCTTAGCCCTTAAAATGGGCTAAAAGCTACAGGATATATTTCAGCCCCATCCTCTTTTTTGTGTGAAATCCCTTTGCCTGGAACCAAAAGCAGGAGCAGCAGCTCCTCCTTATTCTCATGTACTACATTATTGTGATGATGATGATGATTTCCTGATGTTTCACTGAGTGTGATGCAAATCAGTCTATACCCAAGATCACTCTGTCTTAATGTCTTGATCCATATTTTTAATTCAGTCCAAACCATGAATATCATGATTCTCTTGAGAAAGAAGAGCATCCTCTGCGTGATTAACCAATACATAGATGACCAGTGCATGCCAGAACACTAAACTACAACTCTTAACTGTCCAGAAGATCTGATGCATTAAGATTGATCATGCATCCTTGCCCACACAACATGTAACAAAGCAGCAGAAACTATTTTTTTTTTTTTTTGTTATTTCACAAAAATCTCTTGGGGATTAATCTCACAGCAAGCAAATATGGGAACAGCAAAACTATTTAAAGTTCACTAGCCCTTCCTCAGGAAGGGAGTTTCTCAATACAGGGTTTTAATTTGAAATTATAGTTCCATGGTCACATTCTACATTATCACTTAAACACAATCTTTACTTTTCATTAGTGTAATAAGACCTGCTGTGCTCTGAGGACTAGTTATATTGCATGTATTTTCAATTTGCAATCTATCTGTGATGGTTCAGGAGAAGCCTCTACACCTTGTAATATTTAGCTGGCAAAGTAGTGACAGCACAACCTTTCTTTTCTGGTCCTGTTCACTTCAGTCTTAGGGGTGTAATCATTTAGCTATCTTTATTAATGATGAATTTCTGAAACATCTCTAACCCTCTATTTGCAAATCTTTGGAACTCTACCAACAGACACATGATGTTTTATTTTAACTTAAGACAGAAACAGAAGTTAACTCTGTGGTAACTAGATTTCTAAAGTCCCTTCCACTCTTGTAGTAACAGCAATTTCATTTTGGTTGATAACACACTGATTATTTGGAAGAGGTGGAGAAATATACTAATATTTTCTTTATGTTATTTAACAGCTTAGAAATTTTATTTTAGCTTTATTGACTTGCAAAATAATTTATACTGAACCCATTAAAACATTTATAGCAAGTTTACTTTCATTTTTTTATTTTACTTTTTCTTGCATGAGATTTAATTGTACTAAATAACAATGTACTGCTCATTAATTTGCAAATTGACCCTGTGAGTTTTGAAAGTGATAATCTTTGATTTGGTTTGCATAAACTCAAGCTGTATGAATCACAGAGCTTCAGAATTTATATTGGCTTCCTTTATTACTAAAAGTATGAAGGGAGTATTACATTTTGGGTGGTTTTCATTTACTAACTTAAAGCCATTAAGTTTACTTATGTATCAAGTAGCCATTTATATCTTAGTGATGTTCATATTGCCTCCAAGTAAGTATGTTGTGAGAACAGCTCTAGTAATCTGACATTTTGGAATATATTTTATACTTGGATGCATGTTTCTGTGCTCCCTCATATGTTCTCAAATACATACATGATAGATTAGAGATTTCTTGGGCTAAAACAGACACTGAAAATTGCTCTCTTTAAGATTCAGGAATATACTACACATTTCATATAGTACTGGGCTACTGAATTTATTTCAGACTAGGGTAGATTTTTTTTTATAGTTCTTCATTGGATATTTTAACAACAATGTGTCTTCCACCAGCTGCTCTCTTTTACTAGCAGTTGATCTTAAAAGTTTGGGACTGTGCTGGCAAAATGCAGCAATTTAAGAATGAAGGTGTTTTGTGGGTACCAATTAAAAAATCATGGAATCCAGTGTAAATGCTGGTTCATGAAATAAGAAAAATAAGAATCACTAACCAAGAATTTAGTTACTGTGATGCAGATGTTCAGATTCATTAATGATTCTATTAAGAGTCCAGCCATTCATTGTTTAGTAAGGATTTTACTCTGTACCTTTGGATTTCACAGGTTTTTCTCTGATTTTTTTTGCATGTCAGAAATCAGAGGAAAAGTGAATCTATTCTTTCTTTTTATGTATTGTTGCCTGAAATTGTTTTGTTGTTTGATGAACACACATTTTACTTATCTTTGAAAATGTCCCTGTGTACATTAATGCCCCTACAGAACTGGTGACCTAAGTCTTGCAGTTAAAATTTCCTTTTCCTTTCACACTTATGTAAATAAGTGAGGAAATTAATAGAATTAATTTAACTAAGGTATGCGGCCTACTGTAAGGCACACTGAGAACTTTGAAATTTCTTGTTTTTTTTAATGTGTGATCTTGACAAAAAGACTGTCAAACAGACAAAAATGAATGACAGTTTTATGATATGGTAAAAACAGTTTTTCCAATTTGCTTTCAATACATCTGTAGAACAGCATACATGCCCGTTAGGATTGTGACATTGGACTCCACTCAGACAACCTGAAATATAATTGATTTGAGCTCTTGAGTGTACTGTAATCTGTGTGGTTTCAGAAAAAAATCTATATGTATTGATATGACTTTATAACTTTATTATATCAGTATTGATGTAACACTGTAGCAGTGGTCTGTAGCATTTTCCAACTACTGACATGCAGCCTGATTAGATTTGTATATTATCCAAAGCCTGGTAGATACAGATCAGTACTATATAGAAAGACAATTATATATCTGTCTGAACTAATGTGTGAGAGTAAGTAAGTGCATCCTATGCTCTTTATAAGCTGTCAAAGTAAATATCAAAACAAAACAAGTATAGTTTACCAAGTTGTTATATGCCAGCATGTTCTATGTAGCTGAGTAAAGAAAAAAATCTCATCTTTTCCACTCCTAATGAATGTTGGTTTTAATTAAAGATTCTAGCAAAGTATGGTAAAAGATCCTTAAAATAACATGTAACCCTTTTTCTGGGCAGATGCAGAAAGGATTATGACTGTGTACATGGAGTCTAATACTAATTGACCTTAGTGGGAATCTGGGAGTTGGAAAATGTCTTTGGAGTATAACTCTTTTTTGAAGCTTTGCTTTAAGCGGACATGAAAGTGAACATAAGTGACCATGAAAGGTCACATTTACTGTGGATTAAAACAGAGGAAAGATTAGAAAAAATTTTAGCAGTCGTCAAGCATGTACTCTTTGGTTTCTACTGGTCTGAGTGCTCATCATCCCTCTAAGTCTGTACATTATTCTGAATAACATAGCGAAAAAGGTGAGACAAAGGCATAAAGAAGAAGAAAAAAGGTGTAAAAAATTATTTTAATATATAAAAAATACTTAAAATTCCATTCTTTTATCAGGAATGAATGTGGTTTGATGTGGCCCATAACTTTCTATTCCTTGTGTATCTTAGGTACTGCAATGCAGTCTGAAAGGTTCTATGCTTGTACTAGTCAAAGAATCTTGAGGCTTGTTCAGCAACTGTTCACATCTATGATTTAGGCTGAGGACTGGTTTGGTCTCTGTTATTATAGAGAAGAGCAAAAAAATCTTGTGAAACCATAAAACCACATGTTGTAGCTGAAACATTGTTCTGTCACATTTACAGCTAGGTTACATATTTCCTTTGTTTTGTTCCATCAGACAGGATCCTATTTCACATACTTCCTTTGTTGCTGTATGTTCCCCCTATGTCTCAGTTAAATCTGTCTCCCATCACATCCCTTTGTCAAAAAAGGCAACCAAGGATCAACAGTGAGGTGAGTGGAAACATGAAACTTTCTCTGGATCTCTGCACTGTTTTCTCTGCTTGACAGACACTCTGCTCCCTATATGTAGCCTTTGACCTACAAACTTGAAAGAGTTTCCTAACCCTTGAAATATATGGAAGAATTCCATAAGATTGTTTTTTTTTTTGTTTTTTTTTGTTTTTTTGTTTTTTTGTTTTTTTGTTGTTGTTTGTTTGTTTTGGTTTTGTTCTTGTTGGTTTGTGGTTTTTTTGTGTGTTTTTTTTTTTTTTTTTTTTTTCCCACCCTCATCCTTGTTGATGGCTGTTTTGATAGACTCTGTGAACTTTGTTGGGCAAATTTAATTTTCTAACAGGTCATCACGAATGTTTTATGTCAACAACCAACAAAGTGGTTCTTCATAAAACAGCACAAATGAATGCATATGCTTGATGTTCCTTCAGTATGAGTCATTCATAAAAGCCTGGGCAATAACTATAATAGTAATGGATGGATAGTGGTAGATATAAAATGTGAAGAACAAGTTTAGGAGGAAGATGGTTTGTTGAAATGTCAGGCAGGCTGAAATAAAAAGAAGCCTACCCATGTAACTGGGAAGTGAAACAAGAAGCAAGATTCTCTTTCAAAGGCCTATGGTGGTAGCACATTTATTAATTAAGTATTTTATCCTTCACAGCAAAGGATATGCTTTCATGAAACTGGAACAGACATATGTCATTATTTCTGCCTATGAAGAAGACAGCTTTTTTAAGTTTAGATTCACACAATTCACAGTGGGAACTCATGGTGTCTAGAAAACACAAGACAAATGAACCAGATCTTTATTTCTAAGTTGATTAATATATCTTTATTATTAGGTCCTACGTGTGATGTATGAAGATCATAACTCCCTATGTGTGATGTATGAAGATTATAACTCCCTGTATGTTTAAATCATGTCTGGGCTTGTCAGGGTTTACAGGCTTTGGCAGACTGATGAATAACATAGCGCTATATACTTAATGTGGGGCAAGTCTGAGAAGATTTAGAGTCTTGATTTGATTTATAATTCACATCTTGAAATTTATTTAGGGTGAGATTAAACTGGGATGTTGTCACACAGCTGGGCAAATAATTATGTATGATTGACAAAGCCTCTTTTGCTTGTTGATTGCCCCTGTGCAGCTTATATTTTTCACATTTATTCATAGAGTAAAATATTAGAATATATTTTGTTGGAAAGGACGTCCAAAAATCATCCAGTTCAACCTCCTGCTCAAGTCAGGACCCATTATACCTAGCTGCCTTGCCTTTGGTGAGTGAAGTTTGAATATCTCCTAAGCCTAAGATTTCACAGCCTCTTTGAGCTCCTGCTTAAGTGTTTGATTAGCCTCACTGTAATCAGTGTTAATTAGCTTCACCTCTATTATCTAATCAGAATTTCCTTTTTTGCCTCTTGTGACTGTGCCCCCCATCTTTCCAACATGCATCTCCAAGAGGTCCCTGGTTCTTTTCTTCTCTATCTCCTCCCATTTGGAAGTTTCAGAGACCAATAAGGTCCCCTTATATGGTCTTCTCTGTGCTAAACCCCCAGTTCTCTCAGCTTCTCTTCTTACAACAGTCAATCTAGTTCCATAAGCATCTCTGTGGTCCTCCACTGGACTAGCTCCAGTAAGTCAATATACTTCTCATGCTGGGGAGTGCAGAACTGTGCAGAGAACTCCAGATGTGGCCTAATCCATGCCAAATAGAAGGGAAAGATAACATCCTTCCACCTACTGGTTAGTCTTGATAACACAACACAGTTTATGGCCCATATTATTATAGGCTGCATAATAATTTTCACAACCAACATTAGTTTATTCTCCTTAGTTGTGGCTGCTTTCCCTATCTTTGTGTCACAAAGGAACTAAAGCAAAAAATGCAGATTGATGTTTATGTAAAAATTCCTACTGTGTAGTGGAGAAAGTGGCTGAAATGGCTTTCACCTCAGCCTTTGATGGGTAGGCAGAAGAGGTACAGTCAAAATCCTTTAATTAGAAGTATTTTGTTATCCACATTCTTTCTACCAGAAGGACTGCCTCCATGGTGTTACTTTAAACTGTTTGACTAGGTACTCAGGCTTTATTTTCTTGTCACATTAGAATCAATAATATTTCTCTTGTCAACGCATTTTCTTAATCACTGCTGGTCAATGTATGCTTTCATTGTTTCGTACAGACTGTGGCTGCCCACGCTTGGAATAAGAGGAAATAAGAATAAACTTCTTAACATATTAGTAGCTGAAGTGTCTCTTCCCAGAAGGCAGTTCAGTCACATCAAGTCTTTTACTTCAGTAATTCTTCATCCCATATTCCTTTCCTGAAGAGCAGAAAAAAATTATCAACTCTATAAAGAGCTATTTCCAACTAGAACATTCCATGGTTGTTTTTTCATAGAGACTCAGATTTCCTATCTACTTTCATTCTATTTGATTTATTGTCTTATTTATTTTATTTTTCTTTCCTTAACTCACTACCTTATATGGATTTTACCACACTGACTGCAAGTTTTTTTGTGAAGTCCTTCACAAACTGTTGGACTAAAAATGAAGTTGTACTATTCCAGCCCAGTACTGGCAATTACACATTGGACAAAAAATGTCTGTTGATTAAAATCTTGCTTAAGAGCCACAAAACCTTGAGTTATTTGTTTTAAAGGACATATGCATCTTCACACCAGGAAAAATATAAAGAAAATACGTCTCACCTCATTCAAAATGAATTAGAGTTGTCAGGCTTCTGTGTCTAGTGTTAACTTATGGCAGTCAGTGCTAAAATGTAGTTCCTTGAAATCATTATAATAAATTAAAGCCACTGTTAAAGGCTGAAGACATCAAACTAAAGCAAAAAAAACATATTGTCAACTCTTAAATTTTGTGTTGTAAAATGAATTTAATTCTTCAGCAAGTTGACAGTAAACATAGACAAAAAAGATATTTTAGGATCTTGTGCCAAAAAACACATGTGAAAGCCTGTGAGTGTCTTGCTTGAAGCTGTGAGTTATAGCTACTCAGTCTTGAGGAGTGAGAAATGGCATATTTCTTGAGGCCCTTACGATGTGCAAGCTGTGCAGTGCTCTTTTTTTGAATGACAATGTGGTCAAATTCTTCAGCCAGCAACATGCTTGTGTGGTATTTACTTTTTCAGTTGTCTTTTATGTATGACATAAAATTACTATTAATTTAAAAACTGTCACTCATAGAATGTGAGAAAAGAAGACCAACTGAGGCATACACTCTACAAGAGCTGAAATTGGTACCCTGAGACAGGTCATAATTTGGTACAGCTAATTATCATTTTTCCCATATGAAATGATGTCAGAAGCATAATAAATTGTTTTTGCTTTGATAAGACATATTTTGAAGCCTGTAGTCATTGATGACTTTGTGATATAACCCTGCTGCTTGTTTAAAAGAAATAAAAGGACCAAACAAAAAAATGTCAAAGGCAGTGACTCTCTGCATTTTCTTGGTCGTGATTCATTCTTGACCTAGCCCTGACCTGGTCACTGATATTTAGAATTCATCTTTATATTAATGGTAAAGATCTGAGTTTGCTAAGATGTCCAAATGATATAAATTGAACAGCTTGTTCTTGAGTATGAATGGAAGAGTAAGTATATACACATTTTTTTAACAGCTCTTCCATATATATTTGGTCTAATGGTATATAGTTTTGTATGGGTTTGTGTTTAATCTGTTTCTGAGTATTATTGCTGCTCACCTCCCTTCCATATTCCCAAGGATGTCTGGTACCTGTGAGTTTGTTTTCTGGACAGCCAGTCTTCAGGGAGAGAGAAAGGCTTAGTCCCCTCCACTTTATTCCTGGAGATGCTGGACTATGTGTCCCTCACTCTTCTCTAGCAACAGGCTCAGTTCCATATGACTTCAGGACCTTCATTATCTTTCCCAGTTTTCACTGCTCAAATCAGTTTGGAGTTTCCACTCCAAAGTTAGTGGGTGGTAGACAGATATCGTTCATACAAACATTTAAAGAAATAATGCTAAAAAAATTAGAACTTTATGCCTGTGCGCTGCAGTCTTCACTTCTTTGTCCTTTCTTTCTTTACTAGTATGTCCAGAACCTGTAGAAACCTGCTCCAAACACTCGAGATTACCTCTTCAACTCTTCTGACTTATATCTGTACTCCATTTGTCTAGAAATATTCACCTGTGTAAAATTATGCATGTATGTTAGTTTTCAAAGGATCAAGACTCCTGGTAGAAAGATTCACACAATTGATGCAGTCCTTAAGTCCTCTGAGTTCTCTCTGCTTTCTGCAAATTCATGGAATTATTTGCTTAAAAATTGTAGGTCGACTGACTTGTTTTTCTCCATTTGAATTTCTACCAGCCTTGATATAAATCATTCTGGATGATTGATCAGTTCAGACTTTTGTGTCTTTGAGCTGTGCTATTTCAGGGCTCTATATGACTTGGAATTACTATAAGAAAATAATAAATGTTCATACCATTCTGTATGAAAAAACATTTCTGTCACGTACCACTGTCAACCAAAAAACCCCAAACAAACAATTCTGTGTTCCTGGCTTAACAACAGCTAAGCATCTGTGGTTATGTTATATTATGAGTAGTGGCAGAATGCTCACTTGTGTGCAAAGATGTATTTAATTGCTGCTTGTCACAATTATCATAAGCTTTATACATCACTTTTACTCTAGGATTGTTTCTGAATTTACCTCTGGTAACGTTCCAAGTTAAAAAAAATAAGAAGTGTTGAGTAGTGTCTGTAACAGGTATTACATAGTAAGGTAATACAAGCATTATATCAAACCCATTATTTTCTTCTCTGAAGTAATCTTATGAACATGTACCCTTTGACACCCTTTATGTTTGATATTGCATTGTTGCACATTTTCTATAGTTTTCAGGCTAGTG